ATTTAATCTTTCATAAAATAAGTGATTTTATTAGTATAAACTAACGTAATTATGAACGTAATTTTCCCCGGGCATTCTTTCCCAACTCCCGGGCATTCAACGAATCTCCCCGGGCGTTCCCGGGCATTCTTTAGTAGGACCCCTATTCGGCGGGGGGATGTAAACGAAGCCCCAGAATGTGAATAACGCTCACTTATAGACGTTGTAGTTTTATGTTGATCTGTCCTGCTGGTTTCAGTTCAACTGTTGCATGACATCTCAACGTTCATCAGAACATTCGTCACAACGTTCTGATATGTTGTTAACAGTTGGCAGTCCTTCGAGGCCGGGTTTAGGAATGGGCTCTCGTGCTATTAATTGTCCCTGGGAAGGACATTGGAGACCATTGGAAACGTCTCACAATTTGCCATTGAAGTATTGACTAGTTATGGTTATGCGCTGTGAAGTTGACTGATGTATCGTTATGACAAAATGAATTTTAAATCTATTTTTTTAAGTGTTATACTTATGAATTACTGTTCAGCACGTTCATACTAGGTCACTTTTATCACTTTAATTGTTCATCTTTGAAATTATAATACTTGAAAATGTAAAAGCACTTCCATCAACATGTTTCGTTGATTAGTGTGTCAAATTCGGGACGTAAGAAGTCGAAATCGTATTAAAAGAGGGATATTCGTCCATGACGGAAAACTGGACGAGCTTCAATCACATCATAAAGAGACTGGACAGGAGAGTTTCGGAATTTTCGTTCCAAATTCATATCAGACGAAAATCTGTCTTCTAATATGACTTTGAGAGCCACTTATGGAAACATTTATTAAATTGGGAAAACAATAGTAATTTTCTTTTACATTTAGCGAGAAACAACAATGTCCAATGAGTGTGTCAGGTCCAGATAAATCAAAAGGAACAATCAATTTCAGCACACAATCACCGTTCCACTTCATCAATCCATTGCCATCAAAAGTTGCTCCACCATCTGCTGAACACGCTTGCATGCATTGATATGAATGCATTGATACCAATGTGACCGTGTAATGAAGAAATGAAGCAAGCCAGACTCGCAGTGATCTTTACCTCTATATATTAGAGTATTTCAAAATGAAGGATGGTATAGGTTGGTAGCCAAAGCAGTGCTGTAAGTATATATACGAATGTGTTTCTGGGCTGGTTGTTCAAAAGCCGGTTAGTTCACAGGTTAACGAAAAACTTCAAGTCAAACTTCACAACAACTTGTTCATAAAATTGGAAATATTTTCCAAGAAATCTTTTTTCGATCAAGGTACAGTTCATGTTCTAAAGTTTTGAAATGAATAGACATGCAGACCAACACAGCAGGTATTTTAGACCAGGATTAGTACTAATCCAACTTTGAACAACCGACCCAAGGCCGGTTGTTCGGAGACCGGTTAGTTTAACTACTTATGCAGCGAGATACGGAAAATTATCTGTAGGCTTTCAACCAATAAGAATACGAGAAAATAGTACAATGAATAATAATGAATTAACGGATTGTTTATAAACTTGGAAATATTTTTCCACAGATCTTGTTTGGATCAATAGAAGTTTTTTTAAAGTTTTGAAATGGACTAGGTCAAATTCTTGTCAATGGTTAGCGCTAATCGTGCTCTGAATAACCGGCTCCAGGGATTCAATCGTATCCGATGAATTTTTCCAGCAACCTAACAAATCACACATTATAATGGTATAATGTGATAAATGTTAAACTGTTATTCAGCCACTTTATTGATGCTGGTAATTTCAATATTTTGAACTCTCTGGTTGCCTTTAACCGTTTCGCTTGTTTGATGGTGTTTATTTCGGTGATATGTATAGTATATTTAATTTGCCCGGCATAGGTCTTTATACTCCACCTATATTTCTATAATATATTTGGTTTAGTGAACGAAAAATACACTGTAAAAACAGATTGGTTAGAATAACCAATTTGAATTGTTTGTCTCAGGTGCATTTATTTGACCAATTTTTTATTGGTTATTAAAGCAACCAAAAATTGTATTTTAACCAATTTTTCGGCTGTTTTGACCAAATAATATTGTTCAAAGGAAAATACATCTGAGACAACCAATTCAAATTGGCTATTTTAACCAATCTGTTTTTACAGTGTAAAAGAATATATCTTATATTTCTTGATTTTATGGCTTCGTATCGTTTTAATTTTAGGCTATACCATAATGACTATAATTGACATGCACTAGTGCACAGACTTACCATGCATAGCTGAGCACAAGTGATAACAAAATTAGCGTTAGTGTCATCGTACTCAATTCACAACTTTGGTTAACTCGCATGCCTTGTTCCAGGTTACGACAGCATAGGATTGAATAATATGACATACATGTATGTACACGAATTGAAATTCACTCGCGTGTGGAGAACTCCAATGCAATAGTTTCCATTGTTTTATTTTACGCTTCCGTAATGAAAAATATCCAAAGTTGCGAATTGGGCATATAAACAAACGTTAGCTTATTTATTCATGACCATTTTACGTTTGTCTATTCACAAAATACTAACGCAGTAATGTTATAGCTGATTGTGTGTGTTGCCATAGTAGTATATACATACGCGTATTTATACTGCAAGCCTAGGCTTAGCTTTTGCCTCATTTTGACTGACGCCGATTAAACTGGTCAGCCAATTATGACAGTGAAGCAAAAACCCAGGCCTGGACTGTAAATACGGTTTATGTGGTTTTCATATAGCCGGTAGCTACTTTAGCGATATTTTTACATGTTTTCATGCCTGACCATTATGTTTTATGAATTTAATGCTGAGTTCTGAACAGTATCACTTGTAAAGTAAACTGTAATAAATGCTTTGAGCATCTTAACGAGACTTTCGTTTTTAAACGATTTCTATGAAATTTAATCACTTAGTTATCCAGCGTTATAATGTAATTATCACATATTTAAAAGTGATTCTGCATGGAAGGTTTGATATCACTATATATAAATATATGTATATACGATAGTCGTGGTTAGGAACAACCAAGTAAACTGATCAAAGAACTTTTATATGTTTATACATTCTTCAATTCACACAAATGTAAACCAATACATTCAAGTATTCTTATTGGTCGGTTTCAGTTAGTGCTATGGGACAGCAGATGGTATAGTCGAACTCAAATATTCAAGAAAATAGGCCAAATTCTGATAGTAAATGAAGCAAACTAGTTTTGGACAAACTTAATTTTGTTTAATTGTTTTTGTTTGTGGAAACACCACGTAAATTTATTACTGCAAAGCTTTCGATCCGTAAGCCCGGATCTTCATCAGTGCTAATAATATGTGACTTGTTTAGTCACATATTATTAGCACTGATGAAGATCCGGGCTTACGGATCGAAAGCTTTGCAGTAATAAATTTACGTGGTGTTTCCACAAACAAAAACAATTATATTTTATCGCCATGCAAACATTCAAAGAACTTAATTTTGTTTTTTTGAAGAATGTGTGAACATATATGTCAAATATTAAGTAGATGTATATAGATATACGTATAATCATGCAATTGTGGGAAACATTGCTAACCTGTACTTTATGCGGTACTCGTGTGTTGGATGTACTTGGGTTGTCATGCAATGTCTATGCAGTCAATGTACCACTGTGTTGAACTGTAAATACGTGTATGGTGAATATTATTTAATTAGGAATCCCTTATTAAATTAGGATTGCGTTGAAAATAAGCGACTTTTACTGCTTACAGTAAAATTATGGTATGGTCGTATTGTACTGTATATCATTTTGGTACATTTACAAGCATAACGTTTAGTACATCCATCTGCACGGTGTATTTTGAAACCACGTTCGTTAATTTGAATTTTATTACCCACTTGTTCGTTTACTTCATAAACTAGCTTTACGACGTTTTGTTATGAAATTTTGTGTTCTGTTTCGGCAGACTTCAGTTTAATAAAAAGTGCTTTGCCTCTGAACAAATGGGGAGAAGATGTAACCACTGATCTCAAGAAGAATTGACTGGAGCATAAATTATGCATTTGGACTGTGCTGGACAATACAAATCCATCATTGGTAAGGGACCAAATCTACGGTAATATATATGCATGCATCTAATAAAACTCGTCATTTTGTGGAAGTGAATACGTTGGAAAGACGATCAGTTGGTCTCTTAGCTATGATATATTTCCAGATACTTAATCCAGTTTAACTCTGATATCAGTGGTTGCAACTGAACACAAAAATGTTAATTTGGTTTCAAAATACACGTCGCACGCAGTTAACATATATAATCACGGGTATATATTTATGTGGGAAGATCGAGATATATATATATATAGCAGTTAACAGGGTCGTAACCAACGTGTATACTATCATGTAACCTATTTATTAAAACACGTCATTACGAGATGCATACCTGTAGATTTTATTGTTGTGGAGGTAGCCAATCTTTAAATGGAGCTAGACTATGCCACATTCTCGTACCCAGAGCCCGTCTTACACGCGATCAACAGAGCATGACAAGGGTAGCAGGTACGATCGGCAGTTGCGCTGCATTTGCCGCAACTGCAGATCAAAATTTAGCCTCTGAACGACAACACAATGCCAAGTGTGCCAAGTATAGAAGTGGATTCTGAGAGTGCATTCTTGCAGTTATTCTAATTAGACAGTAACTCCGGGCTTAGATAACAAGCTCCAAATGATTTTTGGAATTAGCAACACAGCAAGTAACTTCAAGCTTCATACATACCTAGCGGCTAGGCTAGCTTGCCTCGCTACACAATACTTTTTGGAGTTAGACAGTAACTCAAGGCTTAGGTACCTAGTTTTTTCATGATTTTTGGAGTTATTCTTAGCTCCAAATGATTTTTGGAGTTAGCCAGTAACTCCAGGCTTAGATGCTTAGCACCTAAATGATGCTTAGCTGCCGAATTTGGAGTTATACCTAGCTCCAAACGATTTTTGGAGTTTGCCAGTAACTCCACAATTCATATTTCAACTCATACGTTTTGAATTACACAAGTTATTCAAGTGTATATTTTGGTTTGGAGTTGGCCCTTTAGACTTTGGAGGTAGCGTCGCTCCATAACTTCCTACTTTCTACAGGCATGACGAGATGCAACGTGTCTTTGATTTGTTTGTATTGTCCAGATCTCATATGGAAGTCACATAGTCAATACTTGCGTCGTTCCCTACTCCATTTGCAGAGACTACTGCCTTTTACCTTGGTTAGACCTTTCGATTGTACATCCTTGTGTTTCGTGCACAATACACACAGAATAAAGACATACAGAATTGGGACAACTCAGCCAAAAAAGCTTAACCGCTGCCACGCCATGATCCGCAATGATTCGTCCTGGACGTCCACCATTTTTAATATATC